TGCAACTTTGCAAAGAGGCATGGGAGATGACCTAGAAAAGCTAAATAAGTCCGGCAAGCATCCCACTTATACCAAAAGTGCTTATTGAGACGCCAGCTCTGCAGAGAGCAAAGGCAGAAATGGACCAAAAGAAAGTGCGCTCATATCGGGATCCAGACAGGAAGATTCAGGAGGCTTGGGGGTGGGGTGGGGTGGTATTAATGTATGCTGTAGCCATTAAAACAGGACATTTAATGTGTCCTGACACTTGGCCACTTGGCAAACTCACCTCATCAGCATGTGAGCCCCTAACACAACAGCAAATACTCCAAGTCAAGTACAAAATGGCTTAAATTTCCTCCTGTTCCAGACTCAGAGTGGTGATAAATTGGGTGCTTGACTGTGACCATTTTAGACGTGTGGAGGTTTTGAAATGGTAAAGAATGAGTTTGTAGAAAGAAGTCAGAAAAGAACATCTGAGAAGGACCCAACCTGAGCCAGCCCCAACCCTGGGGAATTTCATCTCAGGAGAAGCCACTGTGCAGGCTTCGGGAGGGAGTGCCACTGAACTGCCCCCAACAGATTGGCCTGTGGACAAGTCTGAGGGGTATTTTCTTGGTTGGTGATTGATGTAGGCAGGGTTCAACCCACTGTGGGTGGAATCACCCCTGGACAGGTGGGCCTAAGTCATATAGAAAAGCAAATTGAAGCCGGGCGATGGTGGCGCACACCTTTAATCCCAGCACTCAGGAGGCAGAGGCAGGCGGATCTCTGTGAGTTCGAGACCAGCCTGGTCTACAGAGCTAGTTCCAGGACAGGCTCCAAAGCCACAGAGAAACCCTGTCTCGAAAAACAAAAAAAAAAAAAAAAAAAAAAGGCAAATTGAGCAAGCCTGGAGGAGCAAGCCAATAAGCAGCGTTCCTCCATGGCCACTACTTTAGTTCCTGCCTTCCGGTTCCTGTACCGTTTGATTCCTGCCCTGGCTCCCCTTCTTGATGGATGGTGAGCTGTAAGCCACATGAACCCTTTCCCCGTCTAAATTGATTTTCCTTATGGTGTTTATCACAGGAACAGAAAACAAACTGGGGGGGGGGGGCTAGTATCAGAGAGTGGCATCTTGCCGCGACGGAGCTGACCAGGATGTTTTGGGGGAAGATTATGGAAGGATTTGGGAGCTTTGGGCTGAAGGGATGTTTGAGTCCTCAGACCTTGGTGGGCGGCTGTTGTAAAAGGCGGGAGGATAATGCTAAGAGCAGCGCAGACCTGGCTTACAGGTATCTGAGGGGAGTTTGGGAGTCTTTCAGAGACCCTATCAGGGCCATTCCTTCATGTGATGTTTTAAATTGCAAGCCTGGTTTCTGGTTTGCTGGGACTGAAAATTAAGCTGTGGTTAATGAGAGACCAGCACCATTCAGGAGGAATCTTCTAGAAGGCATTTCCTTGGGGCTGGCACACAGAAGCAGTGGTTCAGAAGGCTGCATCTCAAGCTAGCAGTCAAACTTAGTAAGGTGTATGGGGCTGGAGAGATGCCTTAGAGGTTAAGAGCACTGACTCCTCTTCCAAAGGTTCTGAGCTCAATTCCCAGCAACCACATGGTGGCTCACAAACATCTGTAGTGAGATCTGGTGCTGTATTCTGACCTGCATGTGGGTGAAATATTATATATATAACAAATAAAACTTTAAAAAAAATTTTAAAAACTTAGTAAGGTGTGGAAATCCCCTACATGGATCTGGTTTGAGGGTATAGAGGGTGAGAGGACCCTATGGCAGGCAGGGCTGGAGTCCCTTCAGAAAGGTCAGGAGGTCATTGTTGGAGTGATAGCTGCAGCTGTAGTGGAGGCTTCAGGCTTGAAGGGGTCGTGGAAAGAATCTGAGGCTTGACGCCATGGGGGCAGAGGTAGAATATCTGAAGGGAGCCCAGGAAGAAGATAACTGGTCAAGGTGCAGCCTCAATTGCATGGGTGACCCCAGGACTGAGAGGCTCAAGGAGAGAAGCTAAGCATTGGCAATGGGAGAGATCTCTAGTGAGAGTGAAGCTTTAGTTTCAGGGATGACGTCAGAATACTGGAGATGCCAGATAAAGGAGTGACCACTGGGAACAGTGACAGGTGTGGGGTGACGCTACCCTGAGCAATGCAGGACAGGCAATGTGTGCTGTGGTGGCAGAACCAGAGGGCTGGGACTATCCAAGCCCTTTGGAGCCTGGTTCATGACGGAGTCCCAGATGTCGGGCACTGAACGGCTTATACTGTTAGAGTTTGGTTTTGCTTTGGTCTGATTCTAACTATGCCCTGGTTCTCCCCTTCTGAAATAAGAAGTGTGTAACTTATTTTGGGTTTTATAGGAAGCCACCGTTAAGAGGCATTGAACTTTTAAAGTGTTGGGATTTTTCTGAAGACTGTGGGACCTCTCATGTTATACTGTGTATTAGGTCACTAGACTAACAAGAGGTCTCTTCTCACTGTGGGCTCTGACATGGCTGCACAGATTCTAGCCCTTGACTGTGCATGTATGTATGTATGTATGTATGTATGTATGTATGTATATTTTAAATTTGGCTGCACACGTAGCACTGGACAACATCTGGAAATTGTTTCTCTCCCATTAAGTGGATCCCTATGACTGAAATCAAGCCAACAGGCTTAGCAGCAAGCACCCTTCCCCACTTCACCCACGGAGCCATTTTACCAGCCCCTCCCCATCTTGGTTATCTTTATTAGCATCTCTGCCCTCATTCTAAGTAAACACAATGCTTCCCAAAGGCTGTAAGAAAACAGAGAACAGCTGTGCGTGCTGGGAAGGCCCACGGGGCGCTAGAATAAATAAGACAAATGGACGAGGCTCTGAGAAGTTGTAGAAAGTGGTCGCTAGGTTCTGGGGGCAAGTTTCTAAACCAGTGAGTGAAAGTGAGACCGGCTGATTGATGCTGTGGAGAATCCGTTTCCTCCTGGATGGAGGTGGGAGGCTTAGGAAAGACACAACAGGGCTCACTGAGCCCCCTGAGGTCCCAGAAGCAGGGAAGTGGTAACCAGGGAAGAGGAGACTCTTCAGGGGAACTATCTGCAAGTTGGGCAGGAAGCCCCAGGGATGCGTCATCACCCAGGCTGGGTGGAGGGGTTTGGTGTTGTTATTAGCCTTTGAGTCACCCATGGTCCTGCCAGTAACACCAATAATTTCCCTGGTTCACCAAGATGGACTTATATATATTGATTTTCTAGGTTTGTGGATACCCTTTCTGTCGGTGTCAGTTAGCAAACACTCCCAGCTGGCTTCTCACCACCTGGCCTAACAAAACAAGGAGATGGAAGAGGTGGCTCACACTGCACAGATGAGAATTCCACTCAGCACCACAGAGGGTTGATGCCGTAGCTCTGATAGGCTACTGCTGTGCTGTACTATAACTTGGGTGGACCCACACACGTAGCAGAGAGTCTCAGAGGCTAGAAGCCAGGATCAAGGCATCAGCAGGCTGAGCATTTCATGAGCTGCGCTTGCTGGTTCGTAGGTAGTGGCCTCTTGCTGCGTCCACACGCAATGAAAAAGTCAGGGCAACTCTCCGGGGCTTCTTCTATAAGGGCACTGATCACATTGACGAAGGCTTCCTCATTTCCTTAAAATAGCCGCCTCCCAGAGACTTCATCTTAGCACATTGCAAGACAGGATTTCAGCAGAGGAGTTTGGAGGGAGAGGTACACAGTGGGAATCCAAGAACAGAAGCCACATGAAGACAGAGTGGTAATGGCCATGCAGATCCCCTCGGGCTAGGAGCATGGAGTATACTTTGTTTTCCAAAGTGCTTGGGGCAAATAAAAGTCCATAGAGGCCAGTGGCTTGATCTGAAGCTGGGTTCCAGAGCAGTTCTGCAGTCACAGTTTGAGCAGTTAAAGGGTTCCAAAATATTTCGGACCATACATAGAGTTTGGCCTATATATTTTTAAATAAGTTTCTCTTTATATGAGCCACCAGTTTTCCCATAAGAATTATCTAATTAGTCTTTGCCACAGTAAATTAGTTTGAAGTAATTGCAATCTTTACAGTAAGTGGGCCATAAAGGTGAACAGCAGCTATAATCTTTAACTTTGATCTAACCCCCCCCCTTCTCTGACACATACACACACACACACACACACACACACACACACACACACACGGTTCTGGGAACTGAATCCAAAGCCTTGCATATACAAGTTTGACAAGTGTTCTACCTCTGAGATATGACTCAGGTGATTTTCATTTTTTAAATATTTTTACATATGCATGTTTTGCATGTATGTATGCATTGCATCACATGCGTGCAAAGCCTGAAGAGCCGGGTGAGGGTGTTGGACCCCTTGGAACTGAAGTTACAGATGTTCGTTAGCCACTTTGTGGGTGCAAGGAACTGAACCCAGGTCCTCTGGAAGAGCAGCCAGTGCTTTTAATGGCTGAGTCATCATTCCACCCCATGGTTTTCATTTTTTTAAAAATGCAAATTATGGGCCAAGGAGATAGCTCAGCAATAGAGGTGCTTACCACCAAGCCTGACACCTGAGTTCAATCCCTGGGACCCACATGGTAGAAAGACTCCCCAAGGCTGCTCTCTGACCTCTACATGTGTGCTGTAGATGCATGGCCACCCCTGCACTTGCCATATTAAACAGTAAAATATGATAAAAAGGCAAAAGTTACCTAAAGAAAAAAAATGCCTGGGTACATAGAAGAGGAACATAAACTAGTTTTAAAAAATGTATTATAAGTCAGTAAGAGAGAGACTGGAGAGCTGAGTCCACAGTGAGAGGGTGCACTGCCCTTACAGAGAACCTGAGTCCCATTCTGAGCACCCACACTGGGCACCTGACAAGCAAATGCTTTTGAATCCAGGTCTAGGGATACAATGCCCTCTGTTGGCCCCAGTAGGAACTGAACTCACACACAGGCATGCACACGCACGCTCACACACAAGCACACACACAAATAAGAAAACAAAATCAGTAGGAAAAAAGCAGCCACCAGCTAGGAATTCATAACACACGGACTCACCTCAGGACCTACAATCATCATGTAAACATTGGGCTCTTCTTGATGCCATTCTTGGGAAGAAAAGGAAAGAAAGAAAAGACTTTGAATAAAGGACCTGACGTGGCTTCAAGTCACAGCTGAGAAAACAATTCAGCTCAACTACAAATTTCTCCCCAGCATGCTTTGTGCTCTTAGGTCATTAAGCATTCACCCATGCTAACCAGGACTGATTTCACTTGGTTAGAATGCCCACGTGTGGTATTGTATGCTTTTACACGAAGATTTGTTTCTTTGGGAGCTGAAGCAATGGCTCAGCAGTTAAAAACATTTGCTACTCTTGCAGAGGATCCACATTTGGTTCCCAACACCCACATGGCAGCTCAACTCCAGTTCTGGGGTGGGGCAGTCCCACGCCCTCTTCTGGTATCCACAGGCACTGCACGCACATCATACACACACACACACACACACACACACACACACACACACACACAGAAAAATAAGGGGATCTTTATTTTTAAAATAGTGGTAGAATTTTAAACAAATCTTTTAGCTTTATAATTATTTCCAATTTTTCCGCCATCCTTCATACTCAAAGTTGCAAGTCTACACAGAGGTAGTTATCCAATAAATTACCCTTCTGGCTGTTTCCAAAGTGATGATCTAGAAATAGTTCTGCTTATGTGCCAAGAGAAAAAAAAGGAAAAGAAAGAAAGAAAAGTGGTCCCACCAGGCAAGATGGCTCGAGGTGTGATGCCAGCATTTCACTTAGGCATCTCAAGCAGGAGGACTGGGCATTCATGGCCAGTTGGGGCCATCCAGAAAGAACACAGGACCAAGCAAGGCATATCTCTATCCACAAATCCACATGACAAGGAAGGGAGACACTGGACCACATACCTGAGAACACGTCTACCAAGTACAGAGGGTCCTTCACGGGCCTGAGTCCACATATTACCAGGAACACGTACAGGTTGTCTGCATTTTGGTCAATCTCTGCAAAGTAAGAGCGGGAGCCACTTCAGTGGGGGTGGGGGAATACAGCTACGCAGCAGTAGTGACATCACTGTGCAGACCAGAGGTCCCCACGTTGGCTTTCTGACCCCTTGCATGTCCTCTGACTGCCTCGCCACACATGAGCTTCTCCAAGCATAGATAAACCCGAGTTTCACTCTCCCCGTGAAATGCAAGGTCTCTGCCGTAGAGAGGGAGGGATAGGGCCTGGGAGAGCTGCCCCAGCCACGAGTGATAGGAGTGAGCAGTCCCAGGAAGGACGTGGGCACAGTTCTAGTTGAGAAAAGTGTGAGTTCCTTGACGCAGCTAGAAAAGTGGCTTCTGGGTGAGCATGCTCACGAATTCACAGATGCACGCTAGGTATGAGCATATGTCCCCGGGAATAGGAAACACACACATCCATCTTGTCATCCTGTTGTTTTTTTCTGTATGTGCCAGCTGGATTTGTCAACTATACCTCAGAAAACTGCAACCATTCTAAAAGTAGATGTTTTTTTGTAGAGAAGGTTTTTTTTTTTTTTCTCATTTGTTTCTGTTTTGTTTCTCGTGTGTAGAGTATGAGATAGTGTCTCCTATAATAGTCCCAGCAGGCCGCAAGCTTGTTATGTAGCTGAGGAGGACCTTGAACTTCTGATCCTCCTGACTCCACTTCTTAAGTTTAGGTCTACAGTCATATACCACCATGCCCAGTTTATGCTGGGATCAACCCCAGGCCTTCCTGCAAATTAGACAAGCACTCTACCAATGGAGCTATCTGTATAGCTTTGAAAAAAAAAAAAAAAAAACAGAGAGGGAAAGGAGCTGGGGAGATGACTCAGCAGTTAAGAGCACTAGTTGCTCTTGCAGAGGACCCAGGTCCAGTTCCCAGCACCCACATGGTAGCTCACAAAGCTCACAACCATCTGTAACTTCAGTTCAAGGGGATGTGGTGCTCTGGTGCCCCCTTCTGGCCTCCATAGGTACTGCATGAATGTAGTGCCTAGACATAAATAAGGGCCAAAGAGCCACTCATATGAATAACAACAACAACAGCAATAATAATAATACAAAGAAGGCCTAGGAGTGCCAAATCTGTGGTGTAGGACCAGCAGTGAACACTACTCTTGGTGCCTCTTCTCATGACAAGTGAAGCTGACTTCCTTACCCCTGATCTCTAGATGGGGTGTGATCCTTCCTGGCCAACAAAATGCAGGAATATGTCCATCTGTGACCTTTGAACCTTGGATGTGAGAGGCCTTATCAATCCCTGGTCATCTGGCCATACTACTTTTATGGGGGGAAAAAGACTTGATAAAGAGACTCATTTTGGTAGAGTGAGGTCCCAGCCCAGAAATGACACTGTGTATCAGACACATGTGAGCAAGGAGGGGGCAGTACTGATGGGCCCGGAGCAGACAGAGGCTGCCCAGCTGAGACACAGACCACAACAGTTAACATCTACAAAAATCATGAGGAAGGGCCATCGTTGTTCAAGACCAGGAGATGTTGAGGTGTTTTATGGCAACTGGAAGATAATTGATTTGAGAGCAACTATTAATAGACTCAGCAGAAAAAGCTGGTCTAAAATATCAGGGTTTGTAGCCTTTGTAATTGGTCATAAAACCACACACGTGCAAGGCTGTCTTCCCGAGGATAGGCATTTGGCGATTTCCGTTTCATGCAAACCATTTTCTGAACTCACCTGAGTCTTAAGAATGAAAATGGATGCTGGGCGGTGGTGGCGCACGCCTTTAATCCCAGCACTCGGAAGGCAGAGGCAGGCGGATCTCTGTGAGTTTGAGGCCAGCCTGGTCTACAAGAGCTAGTTCCAGGACAGGAACCAAAAGCTACGGAGAAACCCTGTCTCGAAAAATTCCAAAAAAAAAAAAAATGAAAATGGTATATGTGTCATACATGTAGCTCAGTGCAGGAGGGACATGGCCAGCAAAGAGAATAACGAGAATGACTCTGGACAGACTCACACCGACAGGGAAGACTCCGAGCCCTGCCTTAGAAAAGCATTAAAAGCGATTCTGGGGGCTGGGCAGGCAGCTCAGGGGTAGTATGCTTGCCTTGCACACCTGAGCACCTTTTGATAACAGCACTACACTCACACTCACCCCACACTTACACACACACATACACACACACACACACACACACACATTCTAAGCCAGGTGAGATGACACATGCCTTCAATCCTAGTAAGAAGTAGCCTAAACCAGAAGGATAATGTCAAGTTTGAGGTCAGTGTAGGCTATACATCGAGTTCAAGAACCAGCATGGGCTACAGAACAACAGACAGAGAGAGAGAGAGAGAGAGAGAGAGAGAGAGAGAGAGAGAGAGAGAGAGAGAGAGAGAAATGAAGAAGGAACATATGAAAGAAGGAAAATTCAGAAAGAAGGAATATGATCAAGAAACTTCGTATGTTGGGGCCGGAGAGATAGCATGGTGGTTAAGAGTGCTTATAGCTCTTGCAGAGGACCCAAGTTTAGTTTAGCGCTCATGAGGCCACTTGTTAGGGTCTGCAACTCCAGCTCCAGAGGAGCCGATGCCCCCTGCTGGACGTCTCAAGCATTCTGCCCAACTACATGTATCCACACACAGATTTACATGCATAAATAAAAACAAAATAAAATCTTTTAAAAAAAAAAAACACGGCGAGGGAGTGGTGGCTCATGCCTTTAATCCCAGCATTGGAGAGAGAGAGGCAGGTGGAGCTCCGTGAGTTCGAGGCCGGTCTGGTCTACAAAGCGAGTTCCAGGACAGCCAGAGCTGTTACACTGTCTCAAAATAAATAAATAATAAAACATTATCTATGTATCAAAATATCATAATGTATAATGTCATATACATACAGACATTTTATGCATAATTGTTTAAAAAGTTACTACAGTCTCTGAATTGAATTTCAATTCAATATCACTAAGTTATGCTGAGGGTTTTATGCCCCCCCCATACTCTGAATTTCCTAACTAATCTTAGCAGATAAACCTTAGTGAGTGCACATTTGACTAAAGTCTGAGCCAAAAGCTAAGGAGAGAGTGTGGACGCAAGGTCGGAGAATTGGAATTCAGGCACCGGAATCCAAGGTCAGGAGTCAAGCGATTGCCTTTAATAAATGATAAGCTATCTTCCTTAATAAAATCTAAGGGGAGGAAGGGTCAGGATGAGAAGGCAGCCCAAGCCTTGATTCCCAGTGTAGAGCTGCTAATGTGTGCCTAAGCCTCAGACTGAAAGTCTGCTTGCAGCCAGAGATCAAAAGTGCCTTCCAAAAATGTGCTTATTAATTTCAAAGGAAATATAATTCTGTACCTGGGAAAAACAAGGGGGAGGCTCATTAGCTAAAGGAGAGGTTTCTCAGTCTAACACACAGGACTGTGTATTCACACACATGACCTACATGAACCAGACTGCCACATAGATGCATGTACAGCATGTGTACATAAACAGGAGTTTATATATTCAACAGGACAAGCCATCCAGCTCCAGAGTGAAACATGACTCCAATCTGCTCACACCCTTGATGTGGAGATGTGTTCAAACCCATGGGAGGAAGAAGAAGGAAAGGCAGCCAGTGGGAGAGCCATGAGGACCCCCCCAGGATGGGAATGTGGTCTCATTGAATTAGGAGAAAATTATAAGTAGGTATGCCAAACGCTGCACCAAGATGACATTCCGGGAGCTCACATAATTGCTTGGGGAGACCTGGCACCTTGTAAACACCCATGTGACTTAGGTGCTGAGGACACTCACATGGGTCACCTGCTCAGAAGAACTGCTTGAACACCCCTTGGCCCAGCTGAGAGGTAGTGGGGAAACCTAGCCTTGTACCGTCTGGGACCTGGATGACTTGGAACAACAGCCCTGGGAAGAAGCTGGACCGTGAACCTCATCCCTGATTTCCACAGGATGTTGCCTGTAAGTTATAGGAAAATATGCACCATATCGCAGCTGAGAACCCATGATGCCTGTGTGTCCCGTGCAGTGCTTACTCACAATGACGAACATACTGCGGGGGCCAGAGAGATCCCAGTGGTGAAGGGAAATGGATGTTCATACAGAGGACACGGGTCAGTTCCCACCATCCATATAGCAGTTTACAACTACCAGAAACTCCAGTTCCAGTGGATCTGATGCTCTCCTCTGGCCTCTGCGGGCACCAGGCGTGCACATGGTACCATATCCACACAAAGAATATGTACACACGTAAATAAAAATCAATTTTAAAAAACCTAAAAGTACACACACACGTCAGACTTCAGGTGGATGATGATAGAATTCCTCGTCCTTGAAACAGGGTTCCTACAAGGCCACATCTTGCTGGACCTTGCTTGACCATCTGTTGGGAGAGCCGGTATCACCTGAGCAGGCAAGTCTGGGAGGCAGGGACTTCAGGAAGGAAATGTGAGCTATGCCATGCAATTCTTTCTGCCCTTTGTCCCCTTCTGGAAGGAGTCTGCCCCCAGCTGTGTGCACCAATAAACACAGTCCTGTCCATTGAAAGGATAGACTCCTGTCTCCTTCTGGCTCCTGTCTCTTTCAGCTGCCTCAGCAACCTAATAGATGAGACTACAGAACAATTAGTAGGGGGTTTGTCTAGCTTGGAGGAAGCCCTGCACCCACTCACCAGCAGGGTATAAACTAGGTATGACAATGCTTACCCACAAGATTAGCACTCCTAGCAATGTAAGGCCATCCTGGTCTATATAAGACCCTGTCTCAAAAATAAGTTATTTAAATGAAAATAAATAAAATAAAAAAAAATGTATACTTCAGACTGACTACGGGCAAGGTGCCTTGATGTTTGCTATTCAGCAAAGTGCACACCCCCCAACTCTCTAAATTGATTTTGAGCCTCCTGCCCCAGAAGACCCTGGAGGGAGCCGGAGTTAATCCTATATCCGTTGCGCCTCTCAAATCTTTTTCCTCGGCTGGAGATTAAATGTAATGAGAATTCAGGAAACTAAATTAGAGAATGACAGACGAGGGCATTCCATGCCTGCTCTTCTTCTGGAAATAAAAAAGGTGGGAGGAGAGGGGAGGAAGAAAGAAAGAAAATTCAGAGAAGAACCTGGCATGTCCTGCCCGCAGAGAGAAAGCTCATTTTCAGACAGAGGAACACTCAAACCAAAAAAAAAAAAAAAAAAAAAAAAAAAAAAAAAAAAAAAAAAAAACGGAACCACAGAACCAAGGACTGGAGTCCAGCACTCTTGGAAGTGGACTCTGTCTAGTGTAGAGGTTCTCAACTTGTGGGTCACAACCCCTTTGGCAAGCCTCTATCTCCAAAAAGTATTTACATTACAACTAATTACAGTAGCAAAAATGACAGTTATAAAGTATGATCAGAAACGATTTTAAGGTTGGGGGAACACCACAGCATGAGGAACTGTCTTAAAAGGTTGTAGCGTTAGGAAGGTTGGGAGCCACTGGTCTAGTGAGTGACCTGGCAGGCACCCTCCAGCCCTTGGTGGCTTTAAGGGAAAGTGTTGTGGTTTGTCCTTAGCTTTTAAAAGGAAACAGAAAGATATGGGCCTGCCGAGGCTCGGGGAAAGCAGGTGCTACCTAAAAAGCTCGAATGACTTTTGTTCGCTGTTTAAGTCGGAGCTGTGGCTCCAGCCTGCTCACGTCCTCCCACACTGGGTTAGGCAGAGGGCAGGTGTGAACCCAGCCCTGGCAGGTACGCAGGTGTGTGTGTATTTAACATAGCCCAGGGGCCAGCGGAATGGTATTTTTAGCTTTGAAACAAAATACGCCTTTCTTTTTCTTCTTCTCGGTGGTCTAGCATCCATTTCCAGTGACAGACGAAAGCCGGGGCTGTCTGATGCCACGTGAGAACAGCTGGGAGAGCCAAATGCCAGTCACTGCAGCTTCCTGCCCCCCATGTCAACGCTTCTTCCATCATTGGCTTTGTTTCTCAAAGGCAGGATCTGGCGTAGCCCTAGCCAGTCTGGAATGAGCTGTCTAGCCCAGGCTAGGGTTGAGTTTGTGAGGAACCTCCTGCCCTTGCTTCTGGAGGGGTGAGATTATGGGTGCGGGCCACGGTACCCTGCCTTGGCACCTCTCCTATCCCTCAACTGTAAGTGTGAGAAGGGTGGTGTGCTGACGGAAGTGTAGATTTTAGAAAAAGTATCTTGATTCACGGCTGCATAAAGAATGGAGATCCAGTAGCACCATCATCCCATAGCAAAACCAAGTGGGTTTTCTTGGAAATGGACAGGGAGTGGGCTTTAGGATGTTAGGGTCTCCATCGCGTAGAAAAACAAACAGGGTTGGAGGGATGGTGGGAGGAGAGTGAGCCATGGTGGCACACAGGCGGTGGTGGCACACGCCTTTAATCCCAGCACTCGGGAGGCAGAGACAGGTGAACCTCTGTGAGTTCGAGGCCAGCCTGGCTACAAGAGCTAGTTCCAGGACAGCTAGGATGTTACACAGAGAAGCCCTGTCTCAAAAAACAAAAACAGAAACAAACAAAAAAAAAATGCATCAGATATACAGGTGGTACATGCCTTTGATTTTGGCACTTGGGATGCAGAGAGAGGTGGATCTCTGTGAGGTTAAGGCCAGTCTAGTCTACAGAACGACTTCCAGGACAACCAGGGCTGTTACACGGAGAAACTCGGTCTCAAAAAAACAAACAAACAAACAAAAACTAGTATCAGATGTCTAAGGAGCAAGCTATAAACTTTGGTAACTCACCAACATAGATGGTCGTGTGAGGTCCTGCTCTACCTGCCCACCCTCCATACCCAAAAAACTAGAAGAACTTAGAGGGCATTTGGTCACTAAGAGCCAATCCAAATCCTCTACATCTTCTGTTCTCATCGTCTGAGGCACAAAGAAGAAGTAGGGCACGATCTCGGGTCACACAAACTCCAGAATCCCAGTGAGACAGAGCAGGGCTAATAGACCAGTCATCCCCCAAGACCAAACTCAACAGAGACAGTCAATTGTACAAATGGGGACTCACACCTGATTGTAAAGCCCACAGAAGAATTCTAATGGCTCCTCTGATTTACTGTATTCCGCCTGCAATCAGCTACCCCAGCCACAGCCAGAGTTTCCTTGAACCCATTGATTCCAAACAGGATTTCTAACTGTTCACATTGAGATGGGACAGCAGCCAAGTCAGCCTATGGGGAAAATGCCTCCAGTGGAGTGTTTTAAAAATCCTGCCTGTTCTGTTGCTCACTCAACTGCAAGCCCAACCATCAGCCCTGAGACTAGGGGGTTTGATGAAATGCCGTTTGGAGTTCGGGAATTATGGGTCTCAGTTACGCCTCCGTCGTGTCCTATAATATATCGAAACTGAAATAACCTTAAGGCAGGCAATTTAGAGCCTGCCCCCCCCCGTCCTGAAGAATTGTACCCACATGCTGACATGAAGAAGCAATGGGGTCTCAGGGGTTCATTTGTAACGCCGAGAACAGCCACACTGCTGTCATGGGGATTGATGAACGTGCTACAGAAATTTTTTCTAATAAAATGCTTGGGATTTTTCTTTTCAAGTGAAACTAAGGCTGACGTGCAATCTGTGGTGGTTTTAGGTGAGGCTTTTGGAGAGGAAATGGGATTGGAGCGTCCTTACATCAGCTGCGGATGGGAAGCTGGTTTCAAATTTTGAATCTTGGAAGTTTGTAGTAAAGCCTATAACTTCAGCTTTCCCCTCTAGGACCCCACAGCTTAAACCCTGTAAATGTTACTAAATATAGGGCTGGGGAGATGGTTCAGTCAGTAAAGAATGGACTTGCAAATGAGGACCTACCTCATTCATCCCCAGAACCCTTTTTTTTTTTAAAAAAAAAAAAAGGTGCCAGGAGGCATATGGACGTGCACTTTTAATCCCAGTGCTGGGGAGATGGAGGCAGGAGGATTCCTGGGACTCACTGGCCAGTCATCCTGCACTACTGGAGGAGCTCCAGGTCAGTGAGAGATACTGTCTCTAACAACAAGGTGGATGGCTCCTAAGGATGACCTGAGGTTGCGCTCTGGCCTTCACACGTACCCAAGTGCACACATCTGAGTGACCATGTCACATACCCAAGTGCACACATCTGAGTGACCATGTCACGTGCCCAAGTGCACACATCTGAGTGACCATGTCACATACCCAAGTGCACACATCTGAGTGACCGTCTCACATACTCAAGTGCACACATCTGATTGACCATGTCACATGCCCAAGTGCACACATCTGAGTGACCATGTCACATGCCCAAGTGCACACATCTGAGTGACCGTCTCACATACCCAAGTGCACACATCTGAGTGACCATCACACATACCCAAGTGCACACATCTGAGTGACCGTCTCACATACCCAAGTGCACACATCTGAGTGACCATCACACATACCCAGGTGCACACATCTGAATGACCGTCTCACATACCCAAGTGCACACATCTGAATGACCATCATACATACCCAAGTGCACACATCTGAATGACCACCACACATACCCAAGTGCACACATCTGAATGACCATCACACATACCCAAGTGCACACATCTGAATGACCATCACACATACCCAAGTGCACACATCTGAGTGACCGTCTCACATACCCAAGTGCACACATCTGAATGACCATCACACATACCCAAGTGCACACATCTGAATGACCACACCCTCAAGCATCACTACATGGCATGGTCATTTCTGGGAAAAGATGTTGGCTTAGAACAGGAATTCTTGTCCTCGAATCTCATGTCAAGAGACAGCTTTACTTTTCTATCCCTCAGGACCCAGAATAACTGGGGTGGCAATCTAATTGGAAGTTTTGATCCTTAAAAAAAAATGTATACAGCAGGCCTCGTGTATGGACAGCCTGAATTTGAAAGACTTGGCACAATAAGGTTTTGTTCACGCATCATGGCTGAGCTCATTTCACACCACAAGTAGGAGCCGAAGTGGTTAAGTTTCTCTGAATTTCACACAGGCTGGAAAAAGCCCTTCCCCCACTCCACCATCAGGCTGTGTCCTGATGCCATCCTGCCAGGTGGCAGTCTTGCAAGATGCATGGAGCACCGATTAAGTGTACAATCCCACACAGAAACCAGCTGTTAGGAATGCCTCCTAAGGAAACATCCAGTGAAAGCATAAAGAAAGGAGGTCACACCACCCCCGTTACTGAAGATCTCAGCATTATAGAACAAGAAAAGCAGGGGTCCAGCAAGATAGTTCAAACAGGGCCCTAAGGGCAGATGGCAAGGGATGCTTCTGGCAAAGTCCCAGAAAGGGAGCCATGCCTTACCTGATTGTTGGAGGAAGGTGTTCCAGTTAAAGTTGACATTTGGTATCGTTGCAATTCCTGGTGGAAGGAATATTAAAGAAAATGAAGTGAAGTTCTGGTTCTTATAAATCCATTCAACCTCCCGAGCACTACAACGGAGTTTCATGAGCCCCTCGGCACAGAAATTGAGTGCACCTGTGGATGCCAGGCCTGCACCATCCTGCTGAACCAACACCTCCCTCTGGGTGGTACAGACCTTGAGCTCTTTAAAGAGACTTGGGAAAGTCTTCTAAAACATTAGCACTTAGTGGGGCGGTGGTAGTGCACGCCTTTAATCCTAGCACTCAGGAAGCAGAGGCAGGTGGATCTCTGTGAGTTCAAGTCGGCCTGGCCTACAAAGCAAGTGGGGCTGTTATATAAGGAAACCCTGTCTTGAAAACCCAAAAGCCAAAACTAAAAAGTGATGTGGGATTCCCCTGTGTATGCTGTGAATACCACTGATTAATAAAGAAGCTGCCTGGGGCCTGTGATAGGGTAGAGCAGAGCTAGATGGGGAAAACTAAACAGAATGCTGGAAGAAAGAAGACAGAAAAACCAAGCATGGGGCTTGGTGGCACTGCGTGTCTTTAATCTCAGCCCTCAGGAAACAGAGGCAAGGGGATCTCGGTGAGTTTGGAGCCAGCCTCATCTACAGAGCCAGTTTCAAGATACCCAAGAGTACACAGAGAAAAATCTATCTTGAGAAGCAAACAAGAGAAAGAAAGAAAGAAAAAAAAGAAAGGAAGGAAGGAAGGGAGAGAGAGGGAAAGAAAGAAAGAAAGAAAGAAAGAAAGAAAGAAAGGAAGGAAGGAAGGAAGGAAGGAAGGAAGGAAGGAAGAAAGAAAGAAAGAAAGAAAGAAAGAAAGAAAGAAAAAGCAAACAAGAAATAAAACACACTTGGACAGTAGAGTCTGTCTCCACTGGTGAAAAACGTGGTCATATGCATTCCTCTCAATATTTTATAATTTCCCCATCTTTTATTCTAATGTTAGAAAGCAACAGAAAGTTATCCTCTCTGCCAATTATTCTAAATATGTTTCAGAAACTATAGTATCTCATCACCCAACATTGTTTCAAAATATAGAACAAACTGGGGCCGAGGGAGGTGACTCAGTAAAAGATGCTTGCCACTGAGCCTGATTTCAATCCTTGGGATCCACATGGTGAAAAGAAAGAACAAAGTCAGGTGGTGACACACGCCTTTAATTCCAGCACTCAGGCTGAGGCAGGTGGATCTCTGAGTTGGAGGGAGGCCTGGTCTACAGAGTGAGCTCCAGGACAGCCAGGGCTACACGAGAAACCCTGTTTTGAAAAACCAACAGAAAAAGAGGGGGGAAAAGGGAGAAAAGAGAGGAGAACCAAGTCCCAAAAGTTGTCCTCTAACTTTCACGTGTGTGCAGTGGTATGAATATGAACACAAATAGGTAAAATAAATGCAATAAACTGTATATGTATTATAAATATGTTTTAATAAATTACATACACACATATATTAAAATTCTTACCTTGACTCTGGACAAAGATCTTCCCAGTAGCATGTGGCTTTTGAAAGGGAAAGAATGGGGGAAAAGTTAATTGGATGATCCAATCATTCTATGCTTTTTAGAAATCAAGATATTGAAATACCCTTTCAGAAACATCTCTAAGTCACCCACATTGACTTCTTAGGGGTACAGAGGTCCTTCCACCCTAGTGGGGTTTGCATCACTAAGAAGAATGAAGAAAGAAATGCCAGTACTGCAGCCTCATGGGGGCTGTCAGCAGGAGAGTCCCTGAGGCCCAGGAGGGCACTGGCTGCTGAAGCAGGGGAGGGTGGGGCAGTGCCATTCAACTATAGTACTTTGTCCCTAACTTAAGAAAGGTATCTCCCATCCCTTAGGACCAAGGAAGAAGAGAAGGAGGAGGGAGGAAAGGAAAGAGGATGGGGAGAGGAAAAGAAAGGGGGAGAAAGAGGTGGGAGGAAAGAAGGAGGTGGTGGGTAGAGACAAAGTGGTGGCCAGTGAGGACAGGTTGGCCCCAAGACCTGGCAGAGCCCTCAGTGTCTCCAGAATTGAGGCAGAAGCAGTGGTCCCCTCTTCTGCTCCCTCATTCCTTCTCTCCCTCTCCCTTCTTCTGTCCTTTCCCCTCCTCTCATATCTTTCCTCTTCTTCCTTCCCCTTTGGGACAAGATGCCGGCTTCTTATTCTTTGTGCCATTCCCTGGCGAAAGGGCACCAAGCCACCAGAGGGCAAAGAGTTCATCTGTCTAGGTTCTGGAGACACAAGGGGGCTAATAATCATTACATGAACAAAGGTGGGAGCTGAAGAGGGGCAGGAAATCCTCTATCCCATGGCAGAGGGGATTCGAAGATGCCAACAGCTGTGGTTGAAATACAGCTCTTGTGGAGGTGAGCTCTGGGGACCAATACTGTGTAACTTTTTATTTCATAACCTAATATTCCTTTGTTGTTGCTGTTGTTTGGTTGTTACTGTCTGAGACAGGATTTCTCTTGTGTAGCAGCCCTAGCTTTCCTGGGACTTGCTCTGTAGACCAGGCTGGCCTGGAACTCACAGAGATCCATCTGCCTCTGCCTCCCAAGTGCTGGGATTAAAGATGTGGGCCACCACTGCCCAGAGTAACCTAAATATTCCGATGAAGGCACGAAGGGACACCTGAAGCCAGAGGTCACCATTTTTGTCATGTGTACACGCACACACACACACACACACACAGGTGCACACATACATATATTGGAGAACATAGCACCACTGCTAACAGAGCAAGGTCCTGACATTGTAAGGGGTATGCACAATGGTCCTCAAACTAATTTGCCAGTTTGGAGAACAAGCCATGGTGATAAAGCCCCGCCCATCAGGCAGACATTCCATGGAATGATGGAGAGCCAGCCACAGGTCTGGCTTCCATTCCACAGGACGAGCGGCTTCCATTCCAGAACTGAGGTTCCCTTCAGTTTCGCTTTGGCCTCAGCACCACCTTTTTCATTTAGCTCTTTGAATCACTGGTCCACCAAAGCCTCCGCTGCCCTACTCGAGACGCTGTGCGGTGGGTGTCCCTGAGGGAATCCCATGAAATCCCAAACCTTTAAATAGGAAGTATTTCAAAATTTAAACCAAAAAAAAAAAATCACTTCTCAGTTAAGCACAGTGGTGTTGTCTATAATTTCATCACTTCAGAGACTAAAAACAGGAGAATGGCCTCGAGTTCAAGGGCAGCCTGGGCTACAGCGAGACCCTGTCTCAAAACAAAGCAAAACAAAATGAAAATCTCGCATTTAAAGAAGATGATAGAGAGCTTTCACAAAACAAAACACAAATAAATAAATTAAGTGAGGAGTGGACACCGGCAAGTTACCCGGTGGCACCCCAGCCCTCGATAGCTCGTAAATGCAAAAATAATAACAAGCTCAAAGGTGTGCTAGCTAAACCCACAGTGCAGGCTGTGGTCTTGGGGGACTTGGTGCTTCAGAGCAGCAACTTCCTCAGGCCTGACTTTCCTGCCCATGGCCCCTGAGCCAGACTTGTCTCCATAGACATTGTGCCATGCCCTGAGCCCAGCTTTTGCCAGGATTCCAGGCCTCTCATCTTCTGGCTCGGGGACTCTCCATATTGGAATCCATACGCAGGCGCATATTTCCACCTCAGGCTTTTGGGTTGTTTGCGTAAGATGGGACCTCCGGGAGCCGAGGCGGACCTCGAACAAGCCCGGTAGCTGAGGGTGACTTCGGATTCTGATTCTCCGCTTCTGAGTGCTTGCATTGCGGAGGCACGGAGGCACGCCACTAAGGTTTTGTGGGCTGGGGATGGAACTCCGGGTTGTGCGTGTGCTAAGGAGCATGCTCCCTACTGAACGGCATCCAAGCCTGGTTACAAATGCCTTCCGAGTCTCACCCATCGAGTGAGTGTTTTCATGGTGAGGACCTGCCTTGTTTTACAGGGTTATCTCTTGTAGCTGCAGTGTATTGCGCGGTGTATTTTCTCCTTGGCAAAAGATTTTATATGAAAAGGTGTAAGAGAAGGGGTAAATAACCTCCCTGAGAAGCGCCGATCTCTGTGTCACCCACACTGACACAGCGTGTGAACACTGTGTGTAGGGGGGACGGTTTTTTCTAAGCAAGCCGTAACTATTAGACACAGTCAATTTTTTTTTTATTTAACACATATATTTATGGAACACACTTTGTACCCTTTTGGTTTACCAACGAGGTACATTTTTTATCCTGTGAACATGTTTAGAATATGACCATAAAACTGATTGATTCCGTCGCCTTTTCCTGCTTCTCTTCCATATCCTGTGAAATTTTGTTAGTGCAAAGCTCTTCACAACCGAGACTTCAAGGAAGGGCAATTTTACAGACCTCTGTAGTGACAGTCCTATAGCAGGGGAATCAATCCAGGATTCAAGCCCAACATTTCTTTACAGGAGAGCCAGGACACATAAGCAGTCCAATTGAGCTGGGATCAGAACCTGCTAGTGGTGGGAGCTTGTTTGGACCGAGGGCAGGTGATTTCAGTCTGTGCATTTTAGTCAGCGTCACACTCTATTTGAAGAATTATCTTCGTGTCCTTTTTAGAACTTTTTTTTTTTTGAGACAAAATTTCCCTCTGTAGCCCAGGCTAACCTTGAACTCTTGATCTTCCTGCCTCAGATTCCCGAGAGCTGGGATAAAAGGCATTTACACCACACAGGACTCCTTCACACATTTTTATTGCTTGAGCTGATTGAGACCTCTGACCAGTATTTATACATTCTTCCAGGTTTCTCAGAAGTCCCATGAGAGGGGCCAGATGTACGAACTTTAGCAGAAAAGAGGTTCAGCTGCGATTTATAGTGGGAGTCAGGAGGTGAGGAAGATGGAGGGTCGCAGGAAGGAGATAGGATTGTCCTCTATCGGTGCTTATTCCCCTTTTCTCGTTTCATATGGCCTTCTGGATGTGGTCAGACACAGTCAATTTTAAGAAAGCTACAGTCAGGAGTCATTTCTGTGATTTCAAAACAAACATTGAGTCTTAGATTCTGAATCTACTACAAGAACTTTTAATGAAGTTCCCACTTGCGAAAAGTTGAATATTAAGATTAGCCTTTTTATTATATTAGCCAAAGAATGGGAGGTCTTCTTATAGCTGTGGTCCGGTCTTTCTTTTTTTTTTTTTCATTTTATTTATTTATTTACTTACTTATTTATTATTTATTTATTTATTAAAGATTTCTGTCTCTTCCCCGCCACCGCCTCCCATTTCCCTCCCCCAATCAAGTCCCCCTCCCTCGAAAGCCCAAAGAACAATCAGGGTTCCCTGCCCTGTGGGAAGTCCAAGGACCACCCACCTCCATCCAGGTCTAGTAAGGTGAGCACCCAAACTGCCTAGGCTCCCACAAAGCCAGTTTCCTTTGTCTTTTCCCTCATCTTGTGGTGCTCACTCTCAGAGACAAGCGCTGTACCACTGAGCCCTGCCTCCGCCCCCTCACCCAGTGCTATGGCAACTCCAAGCTAAGCGGCAGCTCCTCATTGGTGGATTCTAGGCAGGTGCTCTACAGCTGAGCCCAGCCCCACCCTCCTCATCCCCTCTCCCTCCCCAGCTCTCTTTTCCCTTTTAGTCTATGAAATGGATCTCTTACGGAGACTCACTTATTTCAGAGCGTGTACCTAAAAGGACGCTGGCTTTTCCTATCAAATAATTAGTCAAATCAAGTATTAAGTTCTCCCATTTATTAAAGTGGAATTTTAATACTCTCCCCCATTCCTCTTAAACTATCACACAAAGCAGCCTCGGCTCTCAACCGTTCAGGCGTTCATTAGATCCCAGAAAAACAGCCCTGGGAAGTGAGTGAACAGACACACTCACAAGTCTCTAGGCACGGCCATTTCTTCCCGTCACAGAGTTCAGCTGCCAGCTTAATTAATTTTGGGTAGAAAGGGGAACTAAAAGGGTCATCTTGACTTTTTGCGCTTGTATTAGGAAGTGTATTTCTCATGAGAATCGCAGCAAGATTGTGCTGGGATCAGCATGTCACTACACCCAACTTAATTACCTTTCTAGAAATAAAGGTGGAGAGAATGCATGCCTAAGCTTTGAACTGGCTTCTTTGCTTAAAACCACATTTAAATACATTATTTCTGTGCACATACATATTATCTCCTTGTTAAAAATGTAAGGAGGGGGATGGGGGGAGAAAAACCATGTGCCTGCAGTGCTCCAAGAGGCCAGAAGAGGGCATCAGATCTCCTGGGACAGGAGGTAGACGGTTGTAAGCTGCCACATGGGAATTGAACCTGTGTCTTCTGCAAGAGCAGCTAGTGCTCTTAACCACTGAGCCATCTCTGCAGCCTCCATAGTCTCTCTTTTGAAGCCCCAAAGTGCCAGGCATGGTGGTAGGGTAGTGGCTTCAAAACTTCTAATCCCAGGAGGCAGAGAGAGGCCCATCTCTGAGTTCAAGGCCAGTGTGTTCTACATAGTAAGTTCCAGGCTACCCAGGGCTACGTGGTGAGCCCATACTTCAGGAAAGAAAATGGAGGCAAATAAAGGAAGAGGAGAAGGAAAAGGAGAAGGACAAAAACCACAAAGCACTAGAGGAGGTCCTGTAATCTTTCTAATCTAGGATTACTGATATTTGATCACACTTAGGTAATAATTAGACAAGATTAACAAGGCTACAGCCTGAGTCAAGCCCGCTTGCAAAACAGAGAACATAAAATTAAAAACCAAAGCTGGTTTCTCCTCCGGGAAGATTAAGACTGCGCTGCTCAAAACACATTATCACCGTTCATGGTACATGAATCAAAGCCTCTCCTTCGAAATCAAAAAGAATTCCATAAACACAGCTGAGCAAGAAACCTTTATATTAGTTATACATATTTGTATTTGAAAAAAATTCAAATCAAATAAAGGTACTGGGATGAACTTTATTGGAAAACCCACCCACCAATCCTGTACAAAATGTGTATTAAAGACAACTTCACTTTCAAATTTAATAACTATCCCAGCCTCAAAGCTATGAAAGCAAGTTAATATCATCTTTTATTAGGCTTATCTCAGGACCTCCTACATCCTCATCCGGGACAAAGCCGGTGTTTTCCTTCCTTAATTTTTTTTTTAATTTTTAAGATTTATTTTTAATCATATGTACATATGAAAGTGTGTATGTGCACATGGGTGTAGGTGCCCATGGAGGCCAAAAGAGGGCATCAGATCTCCTAGAACTGGACATACGGGCAGCTGTGAGCTACTTGGTGTTGGACCTGACCTCAGATCCTCTGTGAGAGCAATACATGCTCTTAATTGCTGAGCCATCTTTGCAGTCCTCATTTTTTTTAATTTAAAAAGATTTGCTTTACACTTTTTATTTTATTTTATGTGCCTGAGTGTTTTGCCTGTGCGTATATATTTGTAGTACACGCATGCTTAAAGCCTGTCAAAAGAAGGCATTAGATCAGCTGGAACTATAAGTTAAAGATAGTTGTGAGCTGCCATGTGGGTGCTGGGAACAAAACCTGGGTTTTTGGGAGGTGGAGTAAGTGCTCTTAACCACTGAGCTATCTAGCCCCTTGATGTTTGTTGTTTGTTTGTTCAAATGCCTAGTAGTCTTGGCAAAGGACTGTCCAAGCTTAGATCTGGCTGCCCCAGGGTAATATATATATATATATATTTGGTAGCATATGTGTGTATATACATATTCATACCTATATTCATATACATATATTCTGTAGCTTATACATATCTGAGGCAGGTGTGGTTGTACATGCTTTTAATCCCAGCACCTGGGAGGCAGAGGCAAGCGCTCTCTGTAAGTTCCAGGCCAGCCTGGTGTACATGGTGGAGCATTGTTATACCCATACATTAGTGCATCTTTCAGTTCTCATGAAAGAAACATCTTTATTTCTGTAGATGGTGATTAACATGGAGACCCACAACTGCTCATGGTGCAGAGAATAAGAGACTGAAGAATACTCAACCCTGAATGGCACAGCTAGATCCCATTCCCTCTTCCCAAGGCTCAAGCATCACTGCAGAAATGGGGTGGGAAGGCTGTAAGAGCCAGAGGCAGTGGGTGACTGCAAGAAAAAAAAATTTTCTCACACAACAGGGCAGTTGCCTATGTTAGCTCACAGCAGCTGAGACAGTGTGCGTAAGACCCATGCAAGCTAAAGCCAGACAAGGTCTCAGCATGGGAGCTGGAGAGATGGCTCAGTGGTTAAGAGCACTGACTGCTCGTCCAGAGGGCCCAGGTTTAATTCCCAGCACCCACATGGTGGCTCACAACTGTCTGTAACTCCAGTTCTAGGGGATCTGATAACCTCGCATAAACATAAATGCAAGCAAAACTCAATGCACATAAAATAAAGATAAATAAGTTAAAAAATAAATCTCAGAATGGGAACAGGAAGAAGACACAAAGTCTCACCCTTAGCTGAGGGGCTTTTGGCAACTGGTGGCTCCTGGGAGAGGAAGAGGCAGCTTTCGTTTTGCATGTGGCCCCTAGGTGGTTGATGACACTTCAGGATATGTCCCATATGAAAGAGTATATGTAGAGTCAACTGGACTCAAGGGTTTTACAAAACAAAAGAGAACACAAAGTTCCTGCAGAGGACCTGGGTTCGATTCCCAGTTCTGATACAATGGCTTACAGCTTTCTGTAATTCCAGCCCCAGGAGGCCCAGGCACCAGACAAGTTTGCAGAACACAGATAGAATGCAGGGGGAAAAATGTATATATATATACATTGTGTATGTATGTATGTATGTATGTATATATAAACTTTAATTTAAAAAAAATTTCCTACATTGTATGAAACTCTCAAAAAATTAATTAAAGAAAACACTTTAAAACATCACTAAACTTTTTAAGGGTATCCACACAACTGTGCCATCCCACCACGGTCTAGACAGTCCCCAAGCCCTACCGGAGAGACTCCAGAAGAACACATACCCACTGCATCTGCGCTGTGTCCTTCATTGCCTCTGTGAAAGCCACGGCAAACCTAGTCAATGGATAGAGATAACAGTCAATTAGGCTGGAATTCAATTAACACAACTCTGAGGCAGCACTTCCCAACAACTCATGAGAGACGGACAGGGCACAGCTGCATCCGTTGTCATTACTCCCGGTCACCGCCCATTAGGCCCCGTCTCCACCCACACCAGAAAAAGATGTGGGAGGGAGATAAACTCAACGATGCTCGAAACTTTTTATTTCTCTTGTTCCTTTCTAATAATGCTAGAAAAAGCAGAGATTAAAAATCAAAGGCCAGAGCTGGAGCGATGACTGAGTAGTTAAGAATATTTACTGCTCTTCCAGAGGACCTGGATTCAGTTTCCAGCAACCACGTGGGGCAGCTCACAAGCACCTGTGTACTAACTAGCTCCTGGGTACCTGACACCCTCTCTGACACCTGCGTGCATACAGCGTGCACACTAACGTACATTTACAATTTTTTTTTAAACATCAAAAGCCAGAAAACCAAGTAGTTAATAGGTTATGAGCAGCATCCAGGGCAAGGGGCACATGACACGGGTGTGTGACCAGGGAATTCTGTGTGTGCTATACTGCCCATATCTGCCCAAGATGCCTGTATGAGAATGGGAATACCTACATCTTAAAGCCATGGAACACACACACACACACACACACACACATTCAGGTTTATATATACAAATAAATTTTAAAAAACAATAGAAGAAAAAAGTCAGTAAGTCCTAAGTGAAGCACAATTAATAAAATCTTAGAGACAGATATTGGGGTTTAACCTGAAGACCAGAAAAGAAAAGCAACAAGCCACTGGCTCTAAACCTCAAACTTGGTCCAAAAATGGTGATCCAGCCTCCCAAAAACCTCAGAATGAGACTGTGTGTGAGAGCTGTCTCCTCCTGTCTTATAGTCCTCTCTAGCTCTGGGATTAAGAGCGTGCACCACTACCACCTGGTTTCTATGGCAAACTCGTGTGGCCACTGGAATTAAAGGTGTGTGTCATCAAAGGCTGGCCAGTGTGGCTGTTTTACTTTTCTGATCTTCAGGCAAGCTTTATTTACTAAAATCCAAATGAAATGCCCCTACAGCTAAGGGGCTCCAGCATTAAAAAAATGGGGGACCTATATTTAAGGCTGTTTACAAAACCACTAAAGATCGCTCGGCAGGGAGAAACTGTCAAGTCTTATCACGGGAGTTTGATCCCCTGGGATTCCACGTGGTGGAAAGAAAGAACCAACTCCCACGTGTTGTTCCCTGACCCCCATGAGAGCTGTAGCATGCTCACACATGCGCATGCATGCACACACACACTAAATAAATGTATTTTTTTAACTATTGTTTATTTTATATGTGTGGATGTTTTGCCTGCATGAATATCTGTATACCACATGGAGCTGGTAGCAGATCTCCTGGAACTGGAGTTATGGGCAGTTGTAAATCTCCATGTAGGTGCTGAGAATCAAACCTGGGTCCTCTGAAAGAGCAGCCACCATTCTTAACCACTGAGCCATCTCTCCAGCCCTAAATAAATGTTTTTTTGTTGTTGTTTTTTCTTTTTTTTTTTTTTTTTTTTTTTTTTTTTTTTTTTTTTTTTTTT